CTCAAAAATCTTAACAATATATTGAATCGTATTGTGTACTGAATATTGTGATATATTGCATCATGAGCAGAATATCATGTATAGTTTTGTATTGGGAGAATAGTGTATTACTCCAGCCCTCGTCATGGGGACACATGTCTAAATGTTAGAAAGGGAAGGAAGCATGTATGCATTTATTAATGTTTAAAAGTGTGTTGATAAACCATGTTGTCAAGCATTTTAGAAAGAGAAGGTAGGAAAACATATTTTACTGGCTAAAATAATGCACAGATTGAGATGGCACCACAATAACAGGCTTGGAAGGCAAGATGTGTCCAATTACAAAGACAGTAGCACTGCCAGGTTAAGTGAGTCAATTTAACAGGTGAGGACAGGCAGGCGTCAGACTGTTTTACTCCTCATTAACCTTAGCAGAGGTAAAAAACAGAACTGCACCCCAAACTCTGGATGAGGTACCCTGGGGCAGTTGCTGACATCTTCAGTGGAACAGCCTGAAAATTAGACGTATTTGGGAGTTTGAGAACTCTATTAACTGTCCAGATATAATGTATGAAGTGCTGCCCTTTACGAGAAGCTATACTTGGCCTCCTGCCGCCTGGATCAGAGGAAGAAAATGGGATAGCCCTTTCAGCCACCGCTTGATTCACAGCAAGGCAAATAACCAACAGAAAACCTGTTTTCTCTATTTGATCCTTCTGATGCCATTGGTGGTGATGAAATACGGACACTGCTAGACGTAATTCGAAGAGCTTATTTTCTGGAGAGAAACATTAATGTCACATTGGGACACAAGAGATCTGTTCCATCTCACCTTTTACTAATCACACCTGCCGTCTGCGATGTCAGTATGTCTGTTAAAGGTTAACATTCAAAAGGATGCTCTTATTCATATGATTCATATGTATGCCACTTATTCTCACAATAAGAGACATGCAGCTGTACCATGACACATTTATGTTACTTGCTTCTGTCTTTTTATTTAAATCAAATTCCTAGTCATATATATGCTCCAAACTTTTCACCAGTGGGCGTTTTTCTTTGCTTGAAATGGTAAATCAAGTTTGTAAAGGAACTAAATCCAACTATGTTTTGAAAAGCTGGCAATAATATTTCTATGCAATTTCAAATGTTTTAGTTGATAAAATGACCTAACAATGCCTTACCTCCAGGGTCTATTTGATCAACTTTTTTCCAGAACCAGTTGACGTGACGCCGGCTCCATACCCACTTCTTGAAGCAGAGCAAATCTCCACCAAACAAACAGTGTTACAATGAAACTCAATGACTAAAGACATTTTTATTGGTACTTTTATCTTGTCAGCCAATGCTAAGGCAAAGACAACAGGCAAGAAAATTCTTTGAGTCGTCCATCAGGTCTTTAAGGTTATCACAGCAAGAGGAAGAAGGTCTAGCTGTGACATACATCACACCAAACAAAGTCTCGTTGGATGACACATTTTGCACTCACTTGGTCAGTGATGACTCAAATATGAGCTTATAAAAATTTTGTCTTCAGGAAATTGCTAAGAAAAAAACAGCAGCATAAAAAGGTTCTTATGTTAATACAGCAGTTAGCAGTCAGTGTTTTCATGCTGCCATAGAGCGACCTACGGAATTGACTCATAAAATTAAGCATACTACCTTCACTTATTGATCTTTGATTTGACTTTCAGTCAGACAATGTCTATTATGACAAAAAATGGGATGTTGGCTACCAGTCGCCTTTATACAGACCAACATGTTGCCGTCGTTTTGATTCAACTGGACATGAAGTCGACTGCAGGCCTTGATCCATCCATTACATTTTTCCAGACTTCATTTGGGTTTTGGAAATTGAATAAATTGTTTCCACCCTCGAAGTGATCTGAGTAACAGCTGTCGGAATAGCATGTTCCCTCCTGACAACGCTTGATTTCTTTTCATTTTCCTCATCTTTATGACTGCAGTGTGTATGCTACGATGAACCCAGCAATGCTGTTGGAGGCTCAGTTACTTCAGTTCCTCTACATAAGGGATGTGTACTTTGGGGCAAATTGCAACTGCAGGTTGGTCAGTTGATGACACACCCCATAGAATAGTAGTAATAAATAAAGGCACAGACCATAGAATCTAAAACTTTGTAAAACTTAAAAAAAATATATCAGATGGCAATCCAGACTTTAAAGAGATGCTATAGAAATGGATCTCTAAACCTGAGCAAAGGGTGTCCTTAAAGCATGCCAGCAACATAACCAAAAAATCCAAGAAGCTAAATGCTCAGCTGGAATTATTCTAGAAGATTTGTTGATGGTTTCAACAAGAGTGTGTTAGATGAGAGTGACTATGGTGGTGGGAATTACCCTGGATTTGATGGGTTGCCAGTTTGAAATCTCATTTTGTATGTCTCAGTCATCGTGTCCTCTGACCACTGCCTTGCCTGATGGTGGTGGTCAGAGGGCCCGACGATGACCTGGCAGTCTCTCCTCCATCAGACTGCCTTACGGCAGAGGTGGCTACTATCCAGTAGCTTGGTACCATCAGTGTGTGAATATGTGTATTTGGGTGAATTGAGTGTGAAGTGCTTTGGGGTCCTCTGAATTTGATAATGCTATTCAAGTGCAGGTGAAGTACCATGGTGGAGGTTCAAGTTGGGAACAAAGATGTCGCATTTTAAAATTAGGTTCCCTTGTTATTCATATCTATTGGATAATATATGGGATGAAGGTCAAAAAAGGTCAATAAAGACACCTTCTGGTGCAGTTTCTCTACATCCAATGGAATTTCCCCATAAGGGGCAGTAAAGGCTATTTCTATTCTCTTTTAAGTTAGGAAATATGGACAAGTTTACAAAGCACATGCCTTTGTCACGTCATCATCTCTGTGTTTAAAATTTGTCAGAATATCTGACTTTTCTACATTCATAAGCTCTCAATGGAGAAATCAATGCTTTGACGTGGCTGAAAAAAGGGAAAGAGATGAACTGATGCTTTAAATAGGCTGGTCTATCTCACATAATTCAACTAAATACATTGATGTGAATTTCAATGTGAGTTGCGGTATAATTTGTCATTTTTATTTTTTTTATTTTTTTCATGCTTGAAAGTGACCATGGCTTAGAAAGGAAGTAGTAATAAATTTGGGGATGAGACCAGTTTAAATAATTGGGCACCATTCATCAACATATTCTTTTGTTTCCCCTCATTTCTAAATCTAGTGCGAAGGACACGCACAATGGGGAAATTAAATATTTTTGTATAATGATGCTAACTCCTTTAGCCAGAGCTGTCAACTCCGACGTTAATTTAACTACCTTGCTAAGATGAAACAGAAGAATGCAAGCCAGGAAGAGGGAGAGAGGGATCCAGTTCAAGCAGAACCATCTCAGTGAGCAGAGAGATTATTCAGTATTACATTTCACTGTGCCTTGTACTGTTTCCCAGCCTGCAAGTTAAATGGAAAGACTTTTATGATGCAAATGCAGGCAGCAGTGATAAATCTCTCCCGCTCTCTTCTCCTGAACTCCCCTGATTCAAAGCGATGTGCTCTCTCTCACTTTCACTCTCTCTCTTCCTCGCTCCCTCTTTCTCTTTGACTCATTGGCACAGTCCCTCTTTACCACTTGCACGCTTTCTTCCCGCTGCAGCGTTGTGTTACACTCGCCCCCAGGCCACATGAAAAATGAATCAGAGCCAGGTGATGCGGTGAGGGAGTGTTAAAGTGAGGGTGCGGCAAGTAGAAGAGGGATGAATGAGAGCGAGAGACCCCAAAAAGTAACTCTTTGACTTTCCCCAACAGCTTCTAGGTCACCTGGATGAGGAGGATGAAAACACTCTCAAAGATTCACACAAACAAATGCACTCATGCCAGCAGACAACACTGGCTTACTTTCAACACCTTTTTGAATAAAGACTGGATGAATACAAACAAAATAATTTCTCTTGAAGCATCAACAGATCTGCAAACACCAACCGGCCATTTTATTAGGCACACCTGTTTGCTATAATAGCAAATCAGCCAATTATATGCCATGAGCCCCAAGGCATTTAGGTGAGTTGTTGAAGTTCAGCGTAAACATCAAAAAAGTGATGAGATATGGTGGAAGTAAGTGACTTTGAACAGGTCATGGTGTTGGTCCGGGATGGGCCGGTCTGAGCCTTCCAAAACCTCTAATGGAGGTTATGCTAAAATTGTCATCATTTTAGGAATCTATTTAACCCACATGCAGAAACACCATCAGGAGGTTGAAGCAATACTTTCACTTTATTAGCAATAGGCGTGACTCTGTGACAGTTCAGATGTTCGGCGCAGGAGGAAAAGCATACTAGGAGGCTGGTTGGGGACCAAGTGCCGGGGAGTGGGAGTTTGGGAGCTGGAGGGTTGACAGTGGAACTATGACCAGCCGTGGAAGTTGTGGAGAATCACTCCGAACCAAAGGAAGGACTGGATGATCGGACTGGAATCTGGAGTAGGAATGTACCTAGGAAAACAGGACACAAGCATAGATGAGTGGAAAACTCAAGGATCTACAGACAATGATCTGAGTCTCTAAGGGGCTGGAGTTACCACATAGGCAGATACGCTGGTGTCGGCGGATTGTTCGTCGGCTCGTCTTATGCTCCACCTGATGAGAGGCATTAGCATTTTATTGACTCTTGTCTCTTACCGTTGGTTTTTAACCCCAACGTAATGAAGATTCTTGATTAAAAAAACCAAACAATCTAAACAGACAGATTTATTTGTCCTGATAGGTAAACTAGTTTGCAACATTGTCAGCTGGTATTTACATAAAACATGTGCATATACAAACATGACATTAATATTGAGTAAACATTTTGCCATGTTTCTTTACGATAAATGATGGCAAAACCTTTGAACTGAAGGGAAAAGGTCAAATGAGAATTTCAGTGGATGTGTATTGTCTGCTAACATTTCTGCCATCTCTGTATCATATTTACATCAAATATTGTTAGATTCCTTTTGAAAATATATTTTCTCTAAGAACCTGCTCTGTTTATCTTCAGGGAGAGGTGGTGGATGTCCAGTATGCCAGTGTGGAAGACTTGAGAAGAGCCAAAGACTCATTGAACCTCACTAACCAGATTGCTGTGGTCAAGCTTGGTCAAGCACCCTTATTATATAAGGTAAGAACCATTCAAAGTACAGCAGGTCTCTGCTGATAAGTGCCTCACATTAATCACTAAAGGTAGACTGTTCAGATCCATGCAGGAAATCCAGCAACAAGATGGAACAGATTTACCCACACTGAGGAAAAACATCTTTTGATCTTCAGAAATAACTTAGTTATAACTCAGACATGTTTTGTGTCTAATAAACAGATTGATAATTTTTCTTATGACTCTAAATGTAGCACGCTAAATGTAGCCTGTTACAAAAGGAATCTTCTCAAAATGAGCTAATTTGTCATGCACTTCATTTTTTATACAATATTTTCTATAAAAATCCTCAGCCTGCTCTTTTGCTGGATTCTGTTAGCGTACTAACATTAGCAGTGCTTTGATTGATTAGGCCTATTTCTGCTTGGATTTGTTCCAATCTCTGCTGAAAGCAGTTTTGCCATCAATTAGAATATGCCAGGAAAAATACAAATTCCTACCCAGTTAATTAAAACATAAACGTTTACTTGGATGTTAATTGCTCATAAATTTAGCTGCATGTTTCATTCAGTCAAAAGGTAATTTGATTATACAAACCTGCATACAAACTCTAAGAGAATATTTGGTGACATACATTTCCACTAATGAATGATTAAAATGTTACTGCAGTGAAAATAAGAATTGGTTGCAGTGAACTGAATTATCTTAATCCTTTCATATAGCTTCTTAAAACACTGGGACTCATCAATAAAATCTAAAATAAAAAAAATACTTTCTGCCTCATGAAACAGTTCAGCTTTTGCAGAAAATTATTCATCTTTTCTATAAAGCGACATAGAAAAGAAGAAGTGACAGTGGAGGTGACTGCACATTATCTGAATGTACATAGTTGAACACATCACACCAAACTGGAACCTCTGGAACCTGTAATGATCCAGTAAGAAGCTGTTGACCCATTTGCTCATCTTTACCTAGTTTGTGACAGAGTTGATCATGTGTTCCTTCTAATGGTGCTGTGAGGCAGCGGCTGAGAGAAATGATTGCCCTTTACATACAAGTGGGGAAAAAAGTGATTGATGAGCCTTGAACTCTCACTAATGAGTGTGTGACGGTGACTGCAGCCCAACGTTACACAGCCAGCAAGAGTCACACTTGACAAAAGCGAGATGCTTCTGTTTATCTTCTTGGTTAAACCCTGTTTGGTTCTTTCAGATTCAGAGATAATGTAGATCCACTCAGTCCTAAATCAGCATATTTTGTTCTGTGAATCGAATGTTTTAAGCCCATTAAATGACTTTTATCTCTGAACATTTTATTTTTTATTATTGTTTCTGTCTTTTTGAATGAAATTGTATTTGCTGATGTGAGACTGTTCATCAGCATGACAACTTTTTAATCTAAATCAAGAGTCGCTAAAAGACTGTGAGTGCTCTAATATGTTCTCTTTGTCATCCTTTAAACTCTATATAGTTTAGAAGTAGCTGCCAGTGATCTACACACTTTTTTATCACTGGGATTGATATATTTTATATTCAAACATAATCTACAGCTCTGGAAAAAATTAAGAAACTACTGCACACAACTCCATTGAAAACCTCCTGGTTATTTCACCAAATGTTGATTTCTGAACTCCTCCTGAGTTAAAACATTAGTTTTGCTGTTTCTAAATGAATATTATGGTTTTCTTTGCATCATTTGAATTCTAAAAGAACTGCATCTTTTTTGTTAGTTTAGCTATTTTTCACTTTCTGCAAATAAATACCACATTTTTGAGACATGTTGTCATTAGTTCATAGAATAAAATAAAAATGTTCATTTTACTCAAACATATACCTATAAAAAGTAAAATCAGTGAAAATTATCCTTTTAAATGGTCTCTTGATTTTTTTTCCAGAGCTGTTTATGATGAATCTTAAAATTTGACACATCCTTGTTAAAAGGACACAGTATATATTAAGAAGAACCAATAATCTTATTGCATAAATGTCCACTCACTTTCCACTGTATGGTATGTGGTGAACAACCTGAACTAAAGCTCATTTGGATTAATCAGGCTCATGTGTTCTTTAACTAAACATTTCAAAGATATCAGTAAGGATAAGAATGAAAAAAAATCTATTATTACAAATGAGTGTAATGATTTTATCTAATGTGATTTTGAGGTTGTTTTAATTATGTTTTCTGTGGTGTCAATTTGTCACCATTGAGTTCCTTTTGTTATGTGTTTTGTTGGAAGGCATGATGTAGATCAGCAGATTGTCAAACTGACCTCAGGTGAGATGGAGATGGTGCTCATAGGAACCCTGGTCAGTGTCCAGTTAGGTTCTGAAATTCTCCCAATGCACATCTCAAACAAAATGTCAGATGCTTGTGAACTATGACTTCAGTGCACAAGCGTTCAGCTTAAAGCGTTGGATGCATTTTTGAGGTGCAAAACACGTTTGGTCTGAATGCAGCATAATTCATATTGGAGCAAGAGGAATGCATAAGACATTTTACTGCTGACAGAGATATCGTTCATCTTGACACTTCTCTCTTCTCAGTGGGGGATGCTTGTCTAGAGACAGGCTATTTCCAGTACAGCTTCATAGGGTAGCTTCATTCATGGTTGAGCTGGCACATTTTATACACCACAGCCAAATATTAGAGTCATAGTCATACTAGAAAACAGTTTATATTTATGCTTTTGTAAAACTGACATCCATTGTTCGTCACTTGTCCTTGCTGGGTTATGATGGTGTTTGTTTGCAGTCTTCATTGGGCCAAAGGTGAGGTACACTCTGGACAGTCTGCTAGTCCATTACAGGGAAACACAATATTAATCCTGCATACACTCACCAGGTACTTTTTTATTTTTATACACTGTTCTGGTATTGACTTTGCATCTGTTTTTACTTCAGAACTGCCTTAATCATGGCAATGATTCAAAAATATATCAGTCATATCCCTCAGAGATTTCCATCGTCTTTAAAATTAAATGATGTCAGATTTATATAGCGCTCTTCAGGTCCTTCAAAGACACTTTACAATTATTTGTAAATACATTCATAGACTGATGATGGCAAGCTTCTGGATTGTAGCCACAGTTGCCCTCTGTCCCCATATTAATGTCAGTGATGGCATCAAATAGTTGCAGCAGATTTGGTAGACACACATCCGTGATGAGAATGTCCTGTTCCACAATATCCAAAGATGCTCCAGTGATGGAGGACATGGAGTCACAGTGAACTTGTTGACATGTTCAAGAAAGCAGTTTGAGATGATTTGAGCTTTGTGACACAGTGCGTTATCCTGGGTACATTGCTGTCACAGCAGGATGGACACGGACACCGACAACGCTCTGTTAGGTTGACGTGTTCAAATGATTGTCAAGGTGGCCCAAAGTGTGCAAAAAACCCCCCACAAATCTGATACAGTGCAGGACGTATCCATGCTTTCACTGTATTTATAAAGAACATATTCTTCTTATGAAGATTTTCAGAGTGAGTTGCAGTTATTTAAGTTATTTACATTGCAGAATCTGTCTTCAAATTCTGCAATTATTTGCAAATGTAAATAATTTTACAATATTATACATTTTGTAAAATGTACATTATGTTACATTATTTACATAATAAGACTGTATTCTTTGTGTTGACTGTTATTGCGGAGAAGAACAGAGTTGTGTCGCGTGTGGAATGTCAGTGGCTGGTGTCACATATTCAGTAAAACTTTTATTTACACCCATGAAACAATAAAAAAACAGAAACAAGGACACCTCCCACTGACAGCTGTGAAATACAGCTCTGTTCTGTGACAACTGCAACATCTTTCTTTCCCATCTCTGCTGTTGACTAAATGAACACCATCATAATCGAACATCTGAAATCACTCACTCAGAAATTTCCGTCAATAAGAATGTAAGAAGCTAATTTAGTGATAAGTATTCTTCTTGTGGGAATGTGACAATTTAATGTTGTGCTTTTTACTTGCTTTTAAAGCCTGATGTTAAATAAACAAACACCTCTAAACTGTTTACATGACGCCTGTTGCTTTCTAGGGCAGCAGATCAACAAACTGTAGCCGTGCAAAACATCCAGATTTTCAGGATGCTAATAATGAACAAAAATCAGCAAAATAATGCGGCATCAATGATTTCAAATATGGGAGAAGTGAAATTGTTTCGCATTGTTGTCTTTTGGTAACTATTGTAAAATACCTGTCATACACATTCATTTTTAGGGTCTTACTATGTTGTAGCTCATGATAACAAACATGTAAATGATTAAAACCAGTATGGAGATTATTGAAAGTCAGTTGAAATGTCACCTTTTGTGATGTAAAACACAGAGCTGATAAAGTATTGAAAAACATTCAATGCAACATTGGTCAGTTTGTCACATTGAATGTTATGATCTAATTTTAGAATTCATTTTTCTTTGGTTGGAGTCGAGCGACATGTCACATTTTGACTGGATTATCGCTTGCTGCATTTCACTAACAGTTCAGTGTTTTCAGGACTTTCTTGTCCACTGCAGGTGTCTTCAGATTCACAGATTATTGTTTCTACCATTCCAAAGCTTTAATATTCTCCCACTGAAGTTGTTCGTTTCCTGGTTTTGACTCAATGCAATGCTAAAAAATAGTTATTTTTCAGTTTGAAGTTTTAGGCCAAAAATTATTTAGAGCTGTTCATACCGTATTCTACCTTGACAAAAATTCTAGTTTTTTAAATCTAAAGATACCCCACAGTATATTGCTGCCACCACTGTTACACTGGTGGCATGTTGCACGTTTGGAGATCTATAGTGTTGTTCTTCTGCCAACCTTTTTTCAACATTTTCTGAAAGTTATGGTCTTTGCTAAATGATGCGGGTAAGAGCATTTCACAAAAAAGCTAAAACTATAGAAGCAAATAGTTTCTTTAAACTAATTTAATTTTTAAATTTCCCCTTAATCCAGTAGTTTTGTTTCAGTTTAGTTGTATGACATGAATTAATAAGGATGGTGAAAAAAATTGAATTTATTTCTTATAGTTAAGTCTGGTATTTTAACAGGGCAATGTAGACTGTTTTATATCCACTCTCCACTTATACAAGAAGATTTTTTTTTTTTTTGAAGTACCATTTGATAAACAAATTGTACCACTGCATAACGAATATTTCTTTAACTGTTGCTATGATGAAATTATTTGTCATTGTTGATGGCCATTGTGTCCATTCAGGTTATTAGTGGGCTTATAGCTCATTAGATGAGTCTTGGTCTTTATTGCTTTTGGAAGACTTCTTGTTTGCTCATTTCTGTTTCAAAGTCATTTTGCTTCAGACTCTCATCACAATCTTTCCTCAGCATTAATCAATGTGTTCCTCAGTTTATGTTTTTCTAAAGATGCATAGTCAATGTTTTCCATGATTTGCTTGTCCTGTTCAGTTACATCTCATAGCTTTTCCCCATAGTTTTCTTTAATGTTTGCCTTTTTTTTACTATCTGGTGTAGGTGGTTGGACCTTCATTTTCTTTACAATACCTGTCCTGCCATAAGAAATTGAAGTTTCAATATTAAAAATGTTTTTAATAATACTTTTGGAGAGTTACTTATCTGTTTAATTATGTTTCTGTGTGTTTTTGCACCCAGCTGTCTCTGTTATCTGACTTCGGTTTTCGAGGCGTTCTTCTGTACATCGATCCCTGTGACGCGCCACCTGGCCGAAACATCTGGCACGAAGCTTTTAGAGTCACTTTAAATCCTGGAGGAAACCCTTCCTTTGGTCAGTGTTTTCTTTTTAAATTATATTAGAATAGATTTCAGCTGATATGATTTTTAAATTCAATTCTGTTGATGGCCTATTACTTTTATTCTCAAATCATAGCACATTTACTTGTCAGTGTATTGACCTACTGCTGCACAATAATAGTACCCACAGATAATACGGAAAATAAATGTACTTAATTGTTGAAATAATCTGACATTTTAAAAGTAAATGTGGCAAATAAAGATATTTTGGTTATTACTGGAGTAAGACAAGAGAAGTTAACTGTCGTTTAACTTCAGAGAGAGTGCACAGCTTTTTATTCTGGATATGTATACTTCTGGTTCCAACTAGTAAAGTTATGTGGAAACCAGCATCTTTCCAGTCATAATATGCCAAAGTGTTAAATTATTTCTGAAGAGGAGATCATTATCTTTTCTAGGGGTGGACTGATGTGAAGGTTCTGGCCAGTATCAATATTCAATATTAATGTTGGATGTTAAATATATCTCCTGGCCATCCTGACAAGGTGAAAAAACATCCACAAAACTCTAGCATTGCTTCTCTGCTCAGCACAGAGTTGGAGATTAAACACCTCCAACTCTGTGCTGCATCACTAACCAAATGCAACATGATCAACAATCCTCTCCCTCCTGAAACATGAACAGCTGAAGGATAGAAATACATATTGGTTACTAATATCAGCACACTTACATATTTTTAAGAAATGACTAAGATTAGCTGATACCGATGTTAATCTGGACATTTGAAATATTTTTATCTTGTGACTGCACTTTGTAACAAACCCTACTCACATTTATTCAGTGGCGTTTTTAAAAGCTGACTTAGTTATTTTGATGGAAACTCAAATAAAGTGTTCAGAATGATGAGGCCACTTTATTAGGCACACCTTGCTAGAACCAGGTTAAACTTCCTTTTGTGTGCATTACACCTCAAGTGTTCACAGCATAGATTCCACCAGGTGTCAGAAACATTCCTCAGAGATCTTTACATACCTAATACAGTTAGTTATGTCAACAATTTCCACAAAAGTCAGACATGTTCTTTGAACATTTATTACTCATGACACAAAGTATCACAGACAACAAACCAATGACCAAAGTATTGTAACACCTTACAGCTCTGATAAGCTCAAGAATCCAACATGACATGAAGCTTTTTAGGTTAATATTTGAATTATCTGATTAAGTGAAACCCACATGTCCATATGACTATTGGTTACTCTGCTTGATGGTTTAACACACACAACATATAAATTACAGATTAATCACCACAAGGAAAATGCTAAACAATTTAAGAAATGACTAAAACAAGTATAAATCCTACCCACAATGCCTCACTGAAGACACATGACAAACACACCAAAATAATGCAAACATATAAACTCTGTTTTCAATTAATCAACATTTCCATCTTCTTCGTATGTCTTAACATTGTTAAAATATGTTCACTAACGAGCAAATCAGCAGGAAAAGTGGGTTTGTTATTGACTCACATTAAAACTGCTTCAGCTCCTTATTACAGGGACATGGTAGGTGACTTTCACTATGTGACAACATAAAAGGACCAAACCAACTTATATTCACAAGTATTTTTTTTTTCTGACATGGCTATGTGAATTTGTTTTGCACCATTTGTTTGGGATTATTTGGTGCAAAACTGTAAGTGTAAGATTTTTGTGAGTGTGACTGAAAGAATACAATGTGTATTCAAATACTTTAAGAATTTGAAGAGGTGTAACTGTTATTTTGTATTTATAAAAGCCCCCCCAAAAAATATAAAAAACTTGCTCTAAAAATACCTTCATGAAAATAGTCTTATTACCTAAGGTACTTCATAGAGTGAGCACTCAGCTTGTGTGTTGTCATTTTAACACAATACGATGGGGGACTTTATAAAGAAACACATTGGATTGCTGATTTCACTCAGCCCTGCTACTGATGCACCAAAAAAGAAAGACTTTAACAAGTAAAAAAAAGATTCACCTCACTGAGTTCATTTTTTGAGTGTACCTTGCGATGATAGCATTCCTCTGTTGACTTTTCTACAGCTTGTCTATGATGTGAATACCCATTTCCACCTCATCCCTGAGCTGATCTATTGGATTAAAATCTTTGGTCTGTGGAGACCAATGAAATCCTTTTCATGTCCAGTAAACCAGCTGGAGATAACTGGAGATTCGTGACATGCTAGCTGTAGCTATCAGAGTATGAGCGGTCATTAAGGAACTGACATGGTCAGCAACAATTTTCAGGCAGGATGATGATGGTTAATTGATGCCCAGTTAGTAGTAAGGGTCTAAAGGGTTCTAAGAATCACCAAATAAACATAATCTCAGGTAGAGATGTAGCTCAATAAAACTAATGTTTGTCCTGATATTAGTAAAATAACATAAAAAAATAACATCAAAACCTGCCCCTATACAATGCTGGTGTCATACACCAGCATTCGAAATCCACGATCTAATGAGGCTAAAGTATCATATTTGTTGCTGGTTACCTCTACAGAAAACACATAACTTTTGTAATGAATACCATGATACAGGAACTAATTACAAGTACAAAAAACTGAATTATTTTGTTGCTTTTAAATAATTTGCTCTAATTTTGTTGAAGTGTTCTCTCTTGACCGTCGACCAGGTCTGAAACATGCTCTCGTATCTTACCTGGCCTCAGGCAGAGGACGCCATTCTGCTGTATTTAAATCAGGCTCCCAGGGCTCATGTCCTCTTTGACCTCAGTCCTGTCCCCACTTCCTGGCTTTATGCTGGGTCTTCTCAACAGGGATGTGTCATTACCACTCAAGTATCCTTAGTCCTTGTAATAGCCTGGGTGCCATGGTGCAAAGACCTGTTGGAACCCCAGCAGATGTCTGGAGCTGCTGTGTGAGCATGTGAAGGAGTGTGTACGGTGTGTTTTTCACTAGAAAAGAGACAGATGCTGGCCATCCTTTCAGATGGCCAGTTCCCCATCAAGGTTCTGAGCACTAACTGAGCTCAGGAGACCAGAGGATGATAAATGACGGCTAATTGTTCATATGTGCCAAAGGTAGTTTGGATATGAAGGTTATTTTTAATCTTCTAAAACGTGTCATACAGCAAATGAGATTAACAAGGATTGTATCTGTGCATGCAGGCATCATTCTTAATAAGTCAATGGGCAGATCTGCAGAAACTTGAGAATTCAATGAAGAGGTGAGCATTAGCAATAGCAATAGAAACCTATCACAGTCTCTGATATCGGCTTCAGAAGATGAGATTGCACAATGATTTGCTTAAACATGTGCTTCTGTTTTGTATTTTCCAGGAATATAGTGGCATTTTGTAGTGAAATAAAGTAACTAAAGTAAAAATGCAGTCTCTATCAATCAAAAAAAAAAGTCATAATTTAAGACCTTGAAATTGGGCTTCTGTCTCTTTAAAAACTCCTGTGTTTATGATGACTACCTCATCACAACATGGCTCCTCTAAGAACCCTTCAAAAACATTTTTGTCAGTGTTGCACTGAGAAGTAGCTGCTATAATGAGCTCTGCAGTTGCACAGTTCCACCAAGTGTTTGCTAATTGCTGCTGGCTATTCTGAAGAAACTTGGAAACTGCACCTCTGAGGGGAAACTGCGCCTGGAAGCTGTTGCTAGGTGTTTATCACTGCCGAATGGTTGCCATTGGAGATTAAAGAATTTCTCAAACATGCAAGAAAGAATCAAAGCATGATGAATGAATAACCTTTCAACTCAACATAAACATCAGAAAGATCAATTTTTATGATACTGCCCCTTTAAAAAGTGTTCTTTAAAAAGTGTTCTTTTTACAAATACACAGAAGAGTTGCTCAAATCATTCACTGCAGTTTCTAGAATCTGCTTTAGGGGTCACTGCTCTAGGAGTGGTCAGCGGAGGGCTGGGTTCACCTTGCTGGGCCTGATGGTTCATTGCTGGTCTGGGCGGTACTCTGGTTCCCTAGGAAGCTGCTTGACTTTGGTTAGACTCAGTTCTTTCAAACCTCTATTGTGGGGAAGCCCTTCTCTGGGGGCTCGTCTCTGTTGTTGCCAGGTAACGGCATATTTTGACAGAAACACCCCTACCTCCATGAAGTGGATATGAGAATCTTGAATTAATGTGATTCACTTATCACATCGTTTTCCAATAAATCTTTACTCAGGCTGTCATTTTTATAATAATCTAATACCACTTACAGAGTAATATATAATATTACTGCTTAAATGAAAGTTTGATTTTTATTCTCTTTAAATTAAATAAATGAAAGATTTTTCGGTTCATTCACACATGTCATTTATGAATCCATACTTTAATGGTTCAGTTGCAGTAAAATATTTCAGGCAGCTGCAAAGTCCTCAGATCTCTGGGAGCCACAAAATGGAGACACATCTAATTTGCTGTGTCTCTATATCAGAGCAGAGTGTAAGTTGGAAATATTCACACACCGATTCATTGACGACCAATAATGTCTAATCTAACTGGATATTACTGGTAATATTCAATAATATCTAAAAGCACTTGAGGTCAGAAAACAGGTGTCACAAATGTTACAGTATTTCATTTGTACCTCAGGCAGCTGCTGTCCAACACACTGAGCAAAACATTTTTTTTATTAATGTGTGCATCCATCTCCTTATCTTTTTCTGCCAGGTTTTCGCTTTTTAACACTATAGTTTCATATAGGATTTTCATAGTGTCATAATTTAAGACCTTGAAATTACTCTTCTGTCTCTTTAAAAACATCTCTGCTGGTTGGCAACAGTGGCTCTCAAAAGTATTAACACCCTTAATAATCGGCATAAAACATAAAAACATGAATGGTTTTAAAATTTTCTCTCCTTTAATCTATTCTACTCTGTATAACTCAACTGAACATTTAAAAAGTATATATGTTGTGGGAGAAAACGATCAATAATAAAACTTGTTTTGACCTGCTTTTTATATAAGTGACTCACTTTAGGCAAGTATCTTTTTGCTCAATGTCCCACATATGGAGAGAA